CTTAGCTATATGTGATAATAAAATATTGAAAGCAAAGATTTTATTTAAATTTTATAATATTCTAATAGCAGAATATATTGAAATTAATAAAACTTATGCAGCTATCTCTTAATAATTTTATTGGTCAAAGATGAATAAAAGTATTTATAAATATATTATCAGTTATAAATCTTGTTAATGCAATAAAATTAGTAATCAATAACTCTTAGAATTACTATAGTTACTTGCCATTTCAAAATATAAATAGGAATATATTATCATAAATTTCATAGTTTAACTCTTAATTATCAAGTTTAAATATAATATAATAGTTATATTTATAGATAAATTATTAAAAAGAGTGTATTTTATATTAACTATAACAACAGTAACTGCATCTGATATTGCAAAAATATTCTTTAAAGATATCTTCAAACTATATGACTTATCTATAGTTATAATATCAGATAAGAATACAAAATTTATAAGTCACTTTTGAAAGTTTTTTTTAAATAACTTGAAATAAAATTAGTAATATTTATAGTTTTTCACTCTCAGACAGATAACCAAACAGAAAGATTAAATAAAATCTTGAAAAAAATATTAAGGATATATATTATCTATCAGCAGAATAAATAAGATAAAAATCTAGCTATAGCAGAATTTGCTTATAATAATAGTAAAAATACTTTAACAAATTATATATCTTTTGAATTAGATTATAAACAGATATCTCATATATCAATTAATATTTTGTTATAATAAAATAATATTATAGTATCTTAAAATTTCATAAAGTATTGGAATATCATGATAAAGATTACTAAAGATTTGCTACTTGAGACACAAGAAAGATAATGTAAATATATAAATTAATACAAAAGATTTGAAGAATTCAATCTTGAAGATAAAGTTCTTCTTTTTACTTGCAATATAGAATTTCTAGTTGATAAATAAAGAATAATCAAGAAATTTATATCAAAATTCATAAGTTTCTTTGATATTATCATAAAAATATCTTCTATTACCTACAAATTATAACTATTAATAAATATAAAATTACATTTAGAATTTTATATATTACTTTTAAAGAAGTATAATCCAGATAATAAATATAATAGATATTAATTATCATTAGTAATCATTATCTTAGATAATGAAAAAGAATATAAAGTTAAGAATATTCTTAATAAAAGAATTTATTATCACAAACTTTAATATTTTGTTAAATAATTTAGTTATTCTTTCTATAATACAACTTGAAAATCTCTTAATAACTTGAAAAATATTATGAAAAAGGTTAATATCTTTGAAAAATTATGTATCTGAATATAATAAGAACATTATACTTTAAGTAGAAGGATATATAATAATTTTAATTGAATTATCTTTCTTTTAAATTCATTTAGTTTTGATTTTTATTTTGCATTATCTGTATTACAGACTAGCTTTATATTATATTTTTAAGAAGATCAATTTTATACTGAATATACAAATAATTATTATGTATTTAATATATTAAATTTAATATATTATTATACAGATGATCATTATATATATCTATATTATTAATTTAGATAATTAATATTTTTTAATTAGATTTTTTTATAATAATTCTTTTCTCTTTTTATTTATTCTCATATATATTATTTATATTATTATTTATTACATTATTAATTATTGGATTATGATTAGTTACTCTTTAGAATATGAATTAAGTTAATTAATTATATTCAATATATATATATTTTAATTAAAAATTCATTATTAATTTATTCATACTTTATATTTATTTCTTTATTATAAATATAATCTGTCTATTCTGTATTTTTAACTTCAGATTTGAATATTTTTAAATAATAAAAATAATTATAAGTTATAAAATTAAAATTATTTATATCATATTTTATCTTATTTATAATTATTAACAAAATAATCTTATATTTACTTATAAAAAATATTTTTAAATAACTTTTTATAGCTTTTTAATTAGAATAATTCTCTAGTTCATTATTTTTAATATGTGATTTCACAAAATATTATTATATTAATATACTTTATAATCTTAAAATATATTATTTTCATCAGTTTAAAGAATATAATAACAAATTTTTATTAAATTTTTATTAAGTTATTAGTAAAAAATATAATTATTATTACTTTTCATATTAATTATATAATAAAGTTAAATATATTAATTTATATAAATTATTAAATTATTAAATAAAATATAAAAATTTTTTCTATATATAAAAGTTTTATTCTTATTAATTATTTTTATATTAAAATAAAAATAATAATTAATAATTTTATATATTATTTTTTAATTAAAATATAAATTTAATTAAAAAAAATTTATTATAACTTTATAATTAGAGTAATTTTTTAAAAAGTATTTAAAGAATCTGAAAAAATAATATATAAAATTATAAGTTATTAATTTTATTTTAATATAAAAATAATAAAAATTTAATAAAAAAAATTTTATATTTTTTATATTTTACTATATTTTATTTTGATAATTTAGTAATTTATTATAAATTAATATGTAAAATTATTTATTTAATTATAAAAATATAAAATATAAAAATTATAAGCTAAAAAATAAATTATAAAACAAAAAAATTTATATTTTTTTATTGTTATTATAATAAAAATTTTAAAATATTATATTAAAAATAAGTAATTAAAAGAAAATTAAGATATAAAATAAAAAAATAAATTAAAAATAAAAATAAGAAAAGTTTAAAATAAAAGAAAATTAATAAAATAAAACTCAAAAAATAATAATAATATAAATATAAATATAGAAATTATATTATTTTTTAATAATAATATTTTACTTTAATTTAATATTAAAACTATATTAAAAATTAAAATAATAAATTAAATATATTATTTTAAAATAATAAAAAATTAAATAATTATATAATGATGATCAAAAGTAATGACTCAGAGGCTAAATTTATTAATAAAATATAGTGAAAATTGAAATTTTCTTTCTATATTAAAATTTATAATTTTAATAAGAAATAATTTTTATTTTTATATTAAAATAAAGTTTATCAGTTATAATTTAACATATATTTTTTTCAGATTTTTTAGATTTTTTCTGAAAGAGTTATTCTAATTATAAAGTTAATACAAAAATTTTTACTAATTAAAAATAAAATTTAATTAATAAAAATTTTTGTACTAATTTTATACTTAGAATAACTCTTTTAGAAAAAATCTAAAAAATTTGAAAAAATATATTAAATTATAACTGATAAACTTTATTTTGATATAAAATAAAAATTATTTCTTAATAAAATTAGAAATTATAATATAGAGAGAAAATTTTAATTTTCACTATATTTTATTAATAAATTTAGTTTCTGAGTCATTACTTTTAATTATCACTATATAGTAATTATAAAGCAATTTAATTATATATTATAATTAATTTTTATAGTTATCAGAATATTAAATATATTGAATTTTAAATATAATAAGATTTTGAAATATTAATATTTTAATATATTAAAAGAGCTATTAATATTTATTATGAATAATAATACTTAAATTATATTTATTTATTAATATAAAAATAAATAAAATCTTATTATTATTAGATTTAGTTTAAAATTTTACTTGAAAATATAAAACTTTGCAAAAATTACTTGTTTTCTTTTTTAAAATATATAATTATATTATTTAATTAGAAGAAATAATAAGCTTGATTTATTTTACATTCAGAATATATTAAAAAAAAATGCTTAAAATCAAAAAAGATAAAAATTTATTTAACATCACTTTTATTTTTGTATTAAATCTGATTTATATAAATATGTATTAATTGCTGAATATTTTTCTAAAAATTTTTTCATATTATAATTTAAAATGTATATTTTTATATTCATATATATCTGAATTTGACAATTTGAAATTTAGGATGTTTAAATAAATTATTAAATAATAAGAAAAAAGAATATAGAAACTTAAAAGTATAATGATATTAATAAATATTATTTATAATTCAATTATTCGAAATAATACATATACTTTGATATATTACCTTTTGTGTATGTTAAATATAGGATATCAAATATTATCAATTTCATTAATAATAAACATAAATTATCAAATTTAAATTAGTTTTTAGATTATTATAAATATATCTCATTTAATAATTTTATTATGTAATTTTTTATTTTTTCATGTTCAAAAAATGCAATTTCCGATTCTTAAAAATACAAGAAATCTTTTATGAATAATAATTGAAAAAATTGCACTTTTGAATTTTTGGGCATTGTAACATATCATTCTGGGATCAAATGTAAAATATATTAAAAATGTCAGTAACTTTTGTCTCTTGTAGTATTAATTAATGGTGTGCTGAATATAAAAACGTTGACATGGTAAAATTTTGAGCAGTGTCCAGTAAATATTAGGAAACCACTTTTGTATTGTAATATTCTGTCAAGATCCGAATATGCATGACAGCACAAATGCATTTCGGGCCACTTGATATACATGTATTTTTTACACTAGCCTTTTTAAAAGAAGGCACATGTATATCATAAAAATTACTTTTGATCAGGACTGTATTTTTTTTTAATACTTATTTCATTCCAAGTATCGGATATAATATAAAATAAAATATTTTACACTGATTTTAGAAAAAATACAATGAGAATGTAAAAGTTCTCAAGGGCGTAATTTTATATCTATGCATCGAAGACAATTTTTTAACTAAGTTTATTTTGTGTTAGAGAGAAAATTTAGTTCTTATTCTAGACGCTTACATAAGGCTAAAACTCATTATTTTCTATAAAAGTTAATAGTATCATATGAAGTTTTTGCAGTTTTAAAAGTCATAAGACATAAATGAGTAGCATGAATATAAAATCAGCTATATATTCCTTTGCTCATCTGCAATTCACTTATAAGAACTTAATTTCACAATCTATACATTTGTAACATCAACCTTCACCACGTAATTTCATTCTTACATAAAAGAATTTGATATATTTGAGAAAATGAGTCAAGCAGCACAACAACAACCACCATTGCAAACTCAATACCAACGATTACCATTGCAACCCTCGCTCCCATATGTTAACATGGTGAAACGCATTTTGGATGGGACTACTTTCAACGACTATGCAACTATTGTTCCAAATCAAAATGGTACTTTGAGCATATTACTTGAATCTTATAATGAATAAATTTTTGATGTGACCCCATTTTCATTTCTACAATATCTTTTCATATAACGTTGTAAAGTGTTTTTGCTGGGCTTTTAAAAATAACCAATCTATGTATATTGCATTATACATTTTGAAACTAATTATACATTTTGAAACTAATTATACATTTTGAATTCTCATATAATGTATTTTTCGTTTACACTTTTTAAGTTTATTGTCAAGCAGCTTTGATTTTTGTTTTTAATTTTTCCCATAAATTTGTAAAATCGAATATGTATCAGAAGTATTATTATAGGTTGTTTAAGCCGAATATGCATGTAAATTTTATAAGTCTACAAGCTTCTACAATAAATGGGAATTTTTTGCTCTCTGGGTCCCACATCATAATGGTGTTTCAGATGGATTGAAACAAAAACAAAGTAATTTATACAAAAATATGCATTCGAAGGTCTTCAGCAAAAAGTAACGCACGATCAAAATATAATGAAATGCAAGGTAAATCCCCGAAAATTCTCCCCCTTTTTCAGTCAAAACCGTGGTGCAAAAAGTATATGTGAACTAATAAATCTAACCCCGAAACAAGCTACTCCCCATTTCAAACCGAATTTTTTTGCGAAAAAGATAATAGCTTATTTTCGTGAATTTACGGTAATTATTATATGATCCACTATATTTTTAAGTCATCTTTAATCTAAAGAAAAATTTAAAATGTAAGAACTATTTTATTGTAAGCTAAAAGTCTCTTTAATTTAAATCCAATCAATTAAAGAGATACATAACCCATGGGGAATTTAAAGTGCTAGAACTTTAATTACAAAATTAAAAAACTTTTATATTATATATGATTTATATAAACTTATATCGGACGTTCCGAGATAAAATATGTGGCCGAGTACAATATAATATTCTATCAGTAAATAAACCTTATAGAAATTAACTATTGATGATATGTAATGATTTAAATTGAAAATCATAACGAGCTATATACATATATGTTGTTTTTTGTTTTTTCTATATATATTTGTCGTATAATATTACTGCGATGCATGCCCGTGCATTGCATTTAGGAATTTTTGAATTCCTTCTTCTGATTCTTTACTCCGTATGACAACTATATGACTAGAATATTAATTAATATGTATCTTTAACGTGGAATATAATGATACCCGTGTAAATTTAAAAAAGTGTTAATTAAGGTTGCAACCCTCAGCCAGAGTTGCGGCAGGTATCTTTAGTGGTGGGCTGTTTAAATACCCGGGTTCTAGTACTCTAGGGATGGGTACTTTAGATTCTTGATAAGGCGCCTGTATTTTGACTTGCTCTTCAGGTTGGTAAAACAGAATAAATATATGTTTTGTCATATCATTATTGTAGGAAAATCCAAAATATTTTTACCATATGCAGAAGTGGAATAAAAGCCCGACTTTCCCTTTTAGTAGTGCTGTGGTATGACATTCCATATGGAATGTGTGGCAGTGTAAAAATCGCAATAATTTGGTATATACAATGAAAGCCTAGACCACAACCATTTTGCTTGATAAATAGCAAAAATTGCTCAAAACTTTATCTATTTCTATAAAAAGAAATTATCATATAGTGTTACATTTATTTATTTATTAAGATATAAAATCAACAAGTCTTTTCCCAAAAAACAAGAATCAACCACACCATCTGTAGAAAGAAGACGCATAACAATAGAACTTACAGAAATCAACAAAAGGATGTACTCGGAAGCTAACAGAATAATATCAAATTATCGATTTCTGCTAATTATTGTTTCAAATAACAAATTAATATTTGGCTTAGCTCGGGGAAAAAAGGGTTAGGAACGACATTTAAAAAAATTCTTTTGATCTCAAGTGCATATCCAAATGAGTCTTTCAATTTTGTTTGAAATTCTTAGCCTTTTGTGTAAGCGAATTCATTTTTAAAAGCTAGTTCCATCGTTTTTTAAGAATACCGCTTCCCGGTTTATATTTTTCCCATAAGCATAGTGACGTTTTTTTGTCGCTTATGTAACATAATTGGTTAATCGATTTTACTTGATCCCTTCCCAAATAAATTACCGGAACATCAAAAGAATTAGAATCTCCCTTTATTATATACAGTATATGTCACAAGTATAAAGATTGACAATATACAGTTGTCCCTATAATATCAACTCTTTGGTATCAATACCCCCATTTATTTCAAAAATTACGATAATGATTATTTGACTTTTTTAATTAGCACCATTTGGCTAAAAATGATCATTTTTTCCCGGTGCTAAATATTGATGATTTACGATATATATTGTTATTAACACTAATCGTATCCCTCATATATCAACAAAATGTCTGGCCCAGTATGATGATAACAGAGAGGGACGACTGCATTCAACAAGATCTCACATATTGTTAAACCTAAAGTTTTAAATCATGCGTGTAAAACTTGCCATTTCGACTAAATAGCTCCAATTTATAAAGTTTTTTGTTCAATTAGGGATTATCAGAGATCTATCTATAAATTTGGTATTATCTTTTGAAGAATGACTCTTTGGAATAGAGTTTTTCATTGATCCTTAGGCTCTATGGCTCTAATTATTATGGTTGGCTTAATTAAATCAGATATACAGTTTCATTCTTTCTAAGTATATACCGATTAAATGCATAATTCCATGATTCCTCTAAATGCATATATTTTTGGTTAATGTTTTATATGAGTTTAATATGCTTATTGTATATTTGCCTGTAAATGCATATTGTTCTAAGCCGGAAGCTCTGCATTTAGAGGAGTGTGACTTTTCTTTAAGTTCTGGTATTTTTTGATGCAAAGCAGAAGCAAACTCTTTTTCATCACATGATATCTGCATTATTGTGTAAAAACTTATTTTTGCTATTCATAAATTTTAGTTTAAATACATTTTTCCTTTCATATTTTAATAAAATATACGTTTATTCCTTTATTATGGTATCTCGAAATTTAAAAATTAATACAATCTCTTATTATATGCATCCGAAAATCTCAATGTTTCTCTTCTTTTATTCTATTTCTTTGCGAGATGATTGAAGCAGTAATTTTTTTACTAGGAACATAATGTCTATAGATAACATCCTCAAGAAGAATATTTTTAGTGATACAGATAATACATGTACAAATCAAGATTAATGCATAATTTTTGATCAACCCGGCAAAACAAGAAGTCAAAAATGCAAAAATACAAGAGACAGATGGCAAATCTAGTTTAGTGAACTCATTTAAAGGGTTGGAAAGGTAAATTTATACATAATTTTCTTTTATTAAAACTAATTATAACCCTCATTCCTAAAACATTAGACGAGAAATAAAATCGTCAAATTAAAATAAGGGTATAAACAGAATTAAAATGAAGGGCAATATTGAGAAAATCATTTTAATTTGGGATATACGTCGATACATTAATTGGGACAAATTGTGATTTGGGGTACAATATAACGATAATATTCAAATACGTATACAAACATACATGTCCTTCATTCAAAACACCAATATTTGCTACATGCATAATGATGTCATAAATTCCTTTACATGTACATCGATGACGATACTTGTAGAATTTTACTACATGTATGGGTTCCCGACCTACGTTATATCGAGACTTGACTGTAAATACAATTTGTAAGCATATTCTTTTACATATTTCTTTTTTAGTTTCAAAGATCCTATATTTAATTATTAAAATATATTTTCATTATTTTAATAGATTTATTTCGATCTAAAAGTTTCGGGACCGCCACATTTGCCAAAACTCTATTTCTAGCACACATTTTTCTATATACAATGAAATACAATTAAATGAATGGGTTTGAGCAATTGGAGAAACAATGCAAAAATTCTTTATTCGTTAAAATTTTATGTTGAATAAAATTTATTATTAGCCGGATTTCAATCCGTATATCAAGTTTTTAATTATATAAAAAGCTTCAGCCTTTTTGACGTTTTTTTGTTCTCATTTTCTATAATTTTAACACATTAAAAAAAACCAAATACAAAATTTGATATATTGTACATAAAATTCAATATAAATGCATACAATATTTAGCTATGGCTTAACCAAGTTTTATTTTATTTTGAACTTTTTAAACCAATGCAAAATTTCAAGGTCATACTATTTAACTTTACTAAACAATCGCTATTAAATCCTGATCCGTTTTGATGAGTATAATGACAAATGATAAATCGCAATAAGATAAATAACAAAGGTCTGATTAAATAAAGATACAGTACCAACCCTAAAAATAGACCTACATAATCAATTAGTAAATTTTGACCTACTGATACCTTTTTTAACCAATCCGAATCTGGTATTAGTTTTTTTTATCATATTTTATTGGATACTTATTTTAGGAGAATATTTTTGAAAGGCACTTTATGTGTTGTTGACGTACGTCAACTCCGCAGAATCCAGACTTTGCCTGTCAAATAAATTTTTTTACTTGTGCTTTATCTTTCTGATAAGCAATAAATTAAAATTATTTTTATATACATGTAAACATATATTTATTATGAGTTATTGTTCGCTAAATCAAGCGTTCTATTATTTGATATAATCGTTTTGACAAAGTAAAATGTAACAACAATAAGTGCTATATGCACATGTACTGGGAGGGGCTGTTTGAAAATGATTGAAAATCTTCATTTTCATTAGTTTAAGCAATTATTTTTCATATAAATGTACATGTAAACATATGTTTATTATGAGTTATTTGTTCGCTAAGTTAAGCATGATATAATGGTTCTGACAAAGTAAATATAACAATAAGTACTACATGCACATGGGGGCTGTTTGACAATGATTTAAAATATTTGAAAATCTTCATTTTCATTTGTTAAATCTATACGTACATGTAAATGTATATATACAGTTGTATCACATTATAAGAATCGGAGTTTAAAAAGAGCTGGTATATATTAAAATCACTTCTTAATATTATCACATGAAAAACGCAAAGAAAATGAAATACTAAATACGTAACTCAAGAATGTTACTAACGTTCCCTTATACAAACAGTGTAATTATATTGGGACATAATTTGGACAGTTGAAATATAGTAAGGAAATACAAGGAGGGGCAGGGCAATTTCAAAAAAAAAAAATTAAAGCCATTTAAAAATCGAAAATTTTTATTTAACTAAGATTTAACTTTTACTTGCGGAAATCTCATTCATATAACTCCTGTAGATCATGTATTGCGTCACCACGGAAAGTAACGACCGATTTGCGCGTGTGACAACATATATTATTGACCCCAAAGTTTTGTTTATTTTATTTTTGCTAAATTTGTTAAATGAAAATATGACACCCTATTGTACTCAGTTGACAAGGGTAAATAGTAATTTTTATTGAAGTTATGAGTGCCAAGCAAGCTGTAAGAAAAATGTGACATAATCCGATGATAATATAATGTTTTCTTGCCAAATATAAAAAGAATAGGAAAAACGAAAATTGATCACGATCTGGGAAACCATAAAAATGCGCATTTAAAAGAAGTTAAAAAGATAACCTGAGCCATTTCACGACATTGGAAATAAACAACCGTGCAAAAGCTTACCTCAAGATTCTCTAAGATAATTTTGTCACTTTTCATAATAAAACATGTTTCACGAATTTGAGAAAACATGATGTTTCAAATAAAATAACACTGCTCCACACTGGAAAAGAAGTCACAAAATAGAGAAAATCAACGATTAGCGTGTTCTCAAGATCCTAATTTCATAAAAGTCATTGGACAACAATATTCTAAAATGTAAAAGCTTCCCAAGGATCGTGAAAAATCTCAGGATTACTCTAAGCATAATCAAAACTCAAGGTATTAGTTTTGAGGAGGTTGTAAGTTCAATGCCTGGAGAAATCAAAGCGATGGTAAATCTATCTGAAGGGCTAATTGTGTTAATTAGTGGTAAAAAAAGATAGTAATAAAATAAATTTCGGTATATATCTGAAATTTCATTTTAAAAAAAATGGCGTTGCTTTTTTAATTGGTCATATATCAAGTAGCTCGAGTGAATCGGTATGGTTACGGCCATGCATTTTTTAGCGAGACGAATCGACCATTTAGGACGAAAAATCTCGATGTAGAATCGATTCGAGCGAAAATACTACATTTGACCAGATGAGTAGAAATGTTTTCACTCGATTAGATCGATTCATTTTGATAAAAAAAGGAAAAACTGTGAATTAATTTTATAAGCTGATATTCGTGGTTATACCATTAATATAAAATAACATTGATTAATCGATATTTTTACATTTATTGGTATTTTTTTTTTTGAATAACGAATAGATGTTTTATATAAAATTCTAGTACCCAGGATCAGCCAGCCCACCAGTTGACGAACCATCGCAAAATATTTGCTGAAACCCTTCAAATGAAAAAAAGCATGTCCGGGTAAACAGTCTTAAACGTGCAGTTTTCTGGTATCATTTAAAAATTAAATTGTAGCGCAGTTCTGGATAATTTTAACTCATACGAAGCTGTATTAGGTTCGTGGTTCGTTGATTACTAACACGTGATTCTCTAATATCGGGATTTTTAACCTCGGTTTACAATGTATACCGCACCGATATATTAGGCCAAAACATTTACATGTACAAGCGGATTGACTGTATTTACAACACATATGAACACTTATCCAAAGCCGATTTAAAATTTTTATATAATAACGAATAATTAAAAAATCAAGTTTTGTGGATATTATTAATAATAAAAGGCGTATCTTTGTGTTCGGAAAATTTAGAACATCACGCTGAGTAACTATAAATTGCGATATTTAACTTTAAAAATTTTACATAAAATGAAAATTTCATTTTTTCATTACCATTCATTATGATGCAAAGGTCATAATAATGGACCTGGATTGAACACCGACTAAAGTTTAAACTTTAATATTTATGAAATTAAATCTGATAATTCAATAAGTATTATATGAAATGAATTTTATGTAAAACTTATTATTTTATTTTATTAAATTTGCTGTCATCCTGCGAAAGTATAAAATTTACATTTGAATTTATTTTTAATATCTTAAACCGAATATACAATAAAAAGGTTGTGATTTTTATACTTAATTTTAGTTACAAATGAGAAAGAATAAAGAAATCATCATAAATTTTGGTTAAAGCATTATTAATTAGGGGCTTGCATTAGCATATGTTCTTGCAATTAATATATTGATATCTCTCACAAATCAAGAGCAAAAGTGCAATATTTGCATGTAAAAAGAGAAATACGGCTTATTTAGAGATATATTTCTGTATATTCTGTTACTCAAAAGTCTTTATACATTCAGGGCTCGATTGACGTTTAATTGGTAAACAGATTTCAAGACATCGCTAAAACATGATTTAATTATAGTAACTGTAAATTCGGTTGTGTTAAAGTTAATAAATGAATAAAACAAAATAGTTGGGCTTATGATCGTTGTATTTACTAGCAGTTTAATAGTAATTAATAATTGAATACCAATTTTCCGTTGACCGAGCATATTATAAATCATATAAGATTGGAACTCCGGTTTGGTGCGTTTTCTTTTCGTACCTTCGCTTTTGGTACAACTGCAAATTTTAAGGAGAATCTATGCCCCAAGTCAAAATCCTAACCAAATATAAACAATCTTCCAGCACTAACCCATATCCTTTCTCTAGTTCTGGTCATACTTCAATATTAATTTTACTTCAAGTACTTAAAGGGAATAATGACTCTAGCCCCTTATAATTTTTTTTAGTCAGTTGCGCATTTGTTTATACAGATATTTATTAGATATTTAAACATTGTGTATTTGCCTTTTCAAGTTAATTTAGAAAAATTTTTCCTCATGATAATGATCAAATCGATTGGAAATGTACTTTTTCATTCATCTACTTCCTTTTAATGATGATACACGTAACAAAGAGAGAAAAATCATAAAGATTAAAAAGAAAATGGAGAAATAAGAAAAATCTTGTTTTCTTTATTGCTTTAGATAGAAATGTTACACAATTAACTTTTTCTTTTTGATCTAAATTTTATTGTTATTGATTTTTTTTTATTAATCAGTTAATATTCTTTCATTGTTTGTTTTCCAAATTAATAAATATATATGTGGTATTCATGGTCCGTTGCAAATGGGCGCTATATAGTATATCTTTATAAACAATATTTATTATGACCCATGAGTTTGATATATAAAGGGTGGGGGTTCCATTGCAGTGTTCCGCTGTATAAACTATATAAAATAACCATAAAATAGTACTTGGCGAATAATTTCTTTAACTTCTCGTCACTAATTAAGCGGCCACACTCAAAACCATTTTTTACACCAAATCTCGACAAAACACACGCATTACATAAACTCTCTATCGATTATTGGCTTTTGTCGGGAAGTTAGGTTGTCGGGAAGTCGGGAAGTTGGGTTGTCGGGAAGTTGGATTGTTGGGAAGTTGGGTTGTCGGAATGCTGGGTTTCGGGAAGTTGGATTGTCGGGATGTTGAATTGTCGGGATGAATATTAGATTTACAATTTTACATTCGATTTTCTCACGCGACATATTTTTGAGAGATATAATAACGTTTCAAAAATGGCTTCCATAGAGGTTATTGCATGTCTTATTTACGGTTCTACGTCACCAATCATACGTCAGCAAAATGTTAGAATTGTATTATCTCGTACAATTTGTAACAAGGCTCGCTTGCACTTATGTACATGTACTATCGTTATCAAATTCGATAAAATTCCATATCTGCGATTGTGTAACGTTAGCTGAAATCTTGTTCTATATTCTCAGATGCATCAGATGAATGGTTTCATCCGGCGACCAATTAAAAGAGAATGGTAACTTCAAATGAGGCATTTGAATTTAATAGAATGGACCGAAGTTAACAATTTTATGGATTCATGATTCGAACAAACATCTACGTGTACTGGAATGCCACGAGATCCTTATAATAAATAGGCTAACATGAATACCATAATTAATGTTATATTAAAGCTCTTAAATGGAATTAAACGTTCAAATTACGAGAGGATGCGTATTGCTCATATTATAGAAAATAAGAGGAGGAAAATGACAACGTAGGGAATAACCTGATGTCAAAGGGTCTACGTTTCGATTAACTTTCTAGTAATCCAAATTGGCACATTTTTTATGAGATTATCTTACACCATATAATTATTATATGGTTTAATTTCGAGACTTTATCCTGTATCTGTTTTATGATTTATATATTCGTATTCGAGTGACTCTGTTCAATTTTTTCTATACGTGTGTTCAAATTTATACGATTAAGACACGAGAAAAACATACATCAATTCGACAAACGGCTTCGAAAGCTTAGATTTTTCTATCGAATGAGAACATCTATAACAATAACTTTTTGATTTGATACGAACAAATCAAAAAGAGTTACATGATGAATCTTAACGTTCGTTTTCTTTATTCTTTTACTTGTTCTTCGTCATTATATTAGAATCTTTTTATATTTTATTTATTAAATAAAATTATTTTCTTTTTTATAAAATTTGCGAGTTATACAAGAAAGTAATATGAGAATATCAAATAGATCAAAACTGAAGTTTCGTTGTTTAATATTTGTTTCTGTGAAGACATAAACGAAATTCACATACAAGAGAATAAGTCGAACTTTTTTGCATCAGGTCGCAAAAACTAGCTTGATTCTAATGGACGATGCCATTTTTATTCTCGAGTACAAGGAAGTCCTCTATTTTCTTTTGACACGTATTAGATAGTGTAATTGTAATTTTGTTGCACAAAAAGTCCACAGACAGAATCTTTATTGTTTATGTACAGCAGCTCATCCAGGAAACGAAGCACAGAAAAAAGCGCGAGATACAAACATCTTGCCATTGAGGTAATATGTACGACAAGAGGTAGCTCCTTAGTAAGAGGATTAACCAATTTAACATTTTTTTGAAGTTATTTAAAAAAAGAACAATTGAACTTTTTAGGATTTTTTGCATTCTGTTAAGTTCGATAAGTTAAAGCATTGAAGATAAGTATAAAGGTCTCATAGTTCTCCTTGCACCATGTATAGAATATTTTTCACAAATTAAAGTCTTCATATTAGCAATAGCAACTGTTTTATTAAAGATGCGAGAAAAGACGCGCCCGAATATACACATCCTGCGAGAAGAAGGCTATTCGACGCGAGAGATTATCGTTTCAGAGCAGGTGTACTTGCCTTGGCTCTACGAATTTGCAAGAAAAGAAGACCAAGGACCTTTAATGATCTAGAAAACTGTTCGTCTATGCCTTCTAAATTCCGGTTTGAAAGATATGCTGTACAGGTTTTTAATGACTGAACCGTGTTATATTGCCGTAGAGATCAAAGTTAAACTTAAATCTGATCTTAGGATCGACATTTCTGTAAGACTGTAAGAGCGTACGGCGGATATTCCGAAAAAACGGTTTATCCTCAATCAAACGCAAAAAGCCGATGCTAAAAACGCTCCGAAAACCTCGACTTGCTTGGCAAAAAAATCTGAAGTAAATTTCAGTTTTTTGAGTCAGACAGCTGTAGGCATTATTCGATGAACAACTAAATTACCCTCATATTATCCCTATGAAGCTTTGTGTAAGTGCAATAATGGTTATGAATGCCTAAATCTAAAGCCGACATATTAAAAGAGCTTTTATTAGGATCATTGTTGCGAAAGGGCTGGATAAAGAATAAATCTTTTATCAGTAGGACAATGACACAAAACATGTTATCGATGAAAGCACAAGAATGGTTCCTTTCTTGATTGACCGGCTCAGTTCCCGCACTAAACCTCACCGAAATTTTTGAAATGAGGTTGACCAATGGTCATGGTAACTTCCTGTGCACATTCAAGTAAAGACGATTTTCGGGCGAAGCGCTAGTTCGGTGGAATGATATCGAAGCAGACTTTTGTGAACATTTGATTACTTTGATGTAAGAAAAGTTAAATGATGTGATAAAAAGCAAAGGTCAATTATACAAAATGTTGTTATTATTTTTTTAGTTTGAGAATTATTTAATAAAAGAACCATACCTTCAAATATTGTCCTCAAAATCGAACAGTCTACGTGGAAGCTAAAAAAATTTTAAAAATGTTGATTGATTGTTTTAAAAAATGCTAACATCAGATAATCATATTAAGAATATACGCAGTTTATTTCTTGTCGTTATATTTCCTCAATGGTGAGATATCTCGCCATTTTTTTCTGTGTTCCGTCTTGATTTGCGCATGTTCCGCTAGTTCGATATTGCGGTAATATACATGCATAATCTCAAAATTATATTGTTGGCAATTATTATTTCGAGGTTACTGAAATGTTATTTTTTCAATTCTATCACATAATCTTAGCTAAGGGAATTTTGTTGACCAAAGGGTAAAATCGATTTGATTGAAAAAGATAATCTTGTATAAAAACCATTTATGCACCGTTGCATGAAATCTACGTCACAATGTTAGATCACAGCCCACGTGGTATAACACCGATCTTGCGTCGAATTACAATATAAAATCAACTCGTCGCGGAATAGAGCAGAGCATAATTTTCACAATCAAATTAATTAGATAATAATATTTCTTGTAATAAATCCTTATCTTTCTTTAATAAAATACGCATTCCTTTATCTTGTTGTACATGTTAATTGAATAGTTCACGGAGAACTACAAAAGTCTTAACCTCGTAAATTATAACCGAAGTATTATGATTAAGAATGATCTTCTAAGGTAGAAACTAGCGACTCCTTAAAGAAGAAACTGGTTAGTCAATTTGACAAGAGATTGGAGTGATCGACTTTATAACGGGCACGTTAGTAGAATCGTGGAAAGTACTCGAAGAGTCTCGTGATCGTACAGTCTCGGTTAATTCCCAGGAACGAGGTCCGCCAGGTAACGCCGCAATTAGCGTTAAATATTCGAATTTCTATCTCAAATTATATTTTCGATTCCCCAAATTCTATTTTGAATTCTATCCAAATTTATATTAAAGCTCTATTGATCACATAATAATATGGAACATTGGAACATCATGATAAAGACTGCCAAAGATTTGATATTAGAAGCTCAAGAAAGACAATCAAAATACACAAATCAACACAGAAGATTTGAAGAATAATTAATTGAGAACTCTTAAAATATGTAACATGTATAAAAACTATTATTGTTAAAAGTAAAGGATAACAATTGCGTACTGTCAATTAACCTTTCCAAGTGACTATTATCCAAAAAATCTCTAATAAACTCTACTCAGAATCGCACACGATTCCTGCTTCTGTGTTAAATAACGTTATATTGTTTGTTGGTCAGGACCTTTAGGTCCAGAAAAAGGCGTCATCAGATAGAGAGTTGATTTTTGCTGACACCTCTGAAACCGAAGCACAAATTAAAGCTCCGATAAACTGAAGTTAATTGCGGGAGCAATCCCCCTCGATAAACCGAATTTTTTAAAATTTTTACTAATAGCACCGACCACTTCGGTTTAACGAGGTTTAACTGTATCTCGAAAAGCAACTGCTTTGATTTAGAACTGAGATAAATAAGAAAATCACGTTGAATCATAATACAAACTACTTCGTTTTAAACAACGATATCCGTAGATAATCGGCGCAGGCATCGAAATTACGATCATACAGATTAGATACTCTTCCAACTCTATAATTAAATCCATCCGCGTAACACTAGAATAAGATGTTTAAAATTCCTAAAGCTTTCTATGTATAATTTCAGAAAGATTAGTACAATTGGTATAAAACTATAAAATCGCTAAATTACATTGTAAAGCAGGTATAAAAATAATAGCCGAATAAATGACATTGTGCATGTACAGTACATGTATTTTAAAGATCTGCACATGGGAGTTTATAGTGACATGTATGTGCATTGTATAAATACATGCAGTTCCGTATTTTTTTCTCATAAAAATTTTTTCGTTCTACATTTTAATTGTTGTACGTCATATCTGTATGTGTATATCGATACGAAAACTTGAAAAAAAATTTTTTCTGCATCAACATATGGGGCAAGAGCCATAGAAACGTTATAAATTTGTACATCATTTCTATTGCACTCGAGCAAATAGGCGTAATATTTTTGTTATCGCTACATTTTATGTCATTCAATAGTTTCCTTTCTATCACGATAAAGGTCTTTAAGGCAAAATCAGAGTCCATAAAAATAGCTTTAAAAAGAAGAAGAATAATAAGTTATACTTTCTTATAGAGATAGTAAAATTATAAAAAGCTAATTAAACCAGAGTCAAATTTTTAAATTGAAAAATCAATCTTTCACATAATTTCCATTTTTTTTGAAAAAAGAATTTGGTAGTTATTATTGACATCACATTATTCAGATCAAACAGAATGAATCCACAATTACAACTACACCTACAACCACGCCCACAACCACAACCACAATTGCAACCACCACAACTGGTACATGTAAATATTATCGATGGAAACACTTTTGATGTCCATAAGACTATTTTTCCAAATCAAAACGACACTCTAACCATATTACTTGAATCTTATAGTAGATGAACTCTGCTCTTATCCGTTGATCTTTTGTTGTGTTCTATGCTCTACTCTACCTTTTAAATTCTATATTTGTTGTTCATATAAGGTTTACTTCACCCTTTAAATCTTTATCGTAGCAATACTATTATGCTGTATATATTCTACTTTTGAAATTCGCAATTTTATTCTTATAAAGAGATACATACGACTATATCTCATTACATAATTTTCGGTTGCATTTTAAAAGATCACATTTTAGGTATCATCAAAACTCAATTATTTTTGTATTCTTATAAATATGAGTTATATGATCATTATAAAATATACATATTAGTCTAAATCTTTGTAGAAGGAACAGGTTCTAAAGATATATTTTATTAACATTCGTCAGGGAAGGCTTATTAAACTTATTGGTAAAGATATCATACTGGTTATTGCCAGTTTCCATTAATTAATTCTTTATTAGTTTAATACTTGGGAAAAGAATCCATATTTTTCCTATCTTTCATTAGTATCATAAACTTAGATAATGGAAATTAATTTTTTATCTTATTGATAAGCTTATTCAATACAGTTTGCTAAATCAAAGCCATGAATTTAATGCATAATGTTACTTTGTCAATTAAGAGCATCAGAAAATTCAAATCTTTTAGAATTGCTATTGTTCTCTTATTGATGACATCAATCATATATCATATCGATATCAAATATTCTAATAACGTTCAAAAGATCTCCATCCATAAGTGCGAGATAAAATCATGACATCGTCAAAATCACATGAGACAGGTTCACACTTTTGTATAAAAAACCAGCCTGAACAATATTATTAAATATTTATTACGAGAAAATTAATATTCACAATTTTATTCCGAATCACAGGATGATGTTAATTTGGTATATGAACATGTAATTTAGGTGTACATGTATTGCATATTGTCCTCCGGAAAAAATTCGAAGAAAACCGGAATTTAGAAAGTATTTTTCCGAGCATATGATTTTCATAGGGTCAAAGCCAAAATCAATGTGTAACGGAAAAATCTACCTCGTGAAATTTTAATCGAAATGGTTTAATATTTCATTTCTTGCGATTTGATTGGTTTTAACCCATAAAAATCACATGCTCGGCACAAATCTCCTAAAATGTCATTCCACGACAAATATATAATTAGCCCATACAGTCTGAATATAAATTAACTAATTTTTTAATAGCAATATGCAATTAGACAATTGATTTTACAGAATTTTATTTGGTGGATACTGTTTATTGCATAATAAATGAATTTTTTATGCTTACAGATGGCATGCTCGTCTGCTGTTTTTATATAGGGGTTTTTCATGTTGTTTAACATTCTGAGAAACCAATCAATATCCTGTGTTTGCGAAGCATTTTTCGGTAGTGGAGGTCTTACTTGTAATATCCTATTATGGATATTTCGTGATTTGCCCTCAGTGATACACAAAAGGTCTTCCATTATTGCATAATCTACATGTCTTCACAAAAATATCCTTTTATTACTCTAAATATCGATTTCTTTGTTAGTAAGTCTTTGAGAAAAATGAAATTGACGCATGTAATGATGATTCGATAAAGGTGCAACGAGTCGTTTCTTTGAATCCGCCATTGTCTTTATTTGAGTTAACAGTTTCTACTAAACATTGCTCAAAATTAAAGTTTTATAAAATAAACTGTAAAATGCTTTTTAATAGATGATGTATATTATTAATATGTGCACATTATAACAATACATACGTTGATCATGTCACAGATGAAATGTATATAGGAATTTAGTTTGTGACATGGCTGGGAAGAATAATCGTTCTATGTGTGTGTTCCAAGAGAGAATGCAAGTGAATAAGATGATTTGGGCGTGAGAATTGGGAATTAAAGAATTTCGTGTTAGATAAGTTATTTCAGGCAGAAGAGGAAGGGGTTATGTGTTATATTAACTATTCTAATTCCAAATGATGCTTTTTTTTTTTAGCTAAAAGCCTTAAATTAAATCAATCAATCAGTTGATGATTTTCCTTTTCTGGATTAAAGGAACAAATACGATGTCTTTTCTGGCGGAAAGAATCTAACCAATTCGATTCGATTATTATGACAAATATACTGCCTTTATCAAGGGTTTTACAAGTATTTTATTACTTGGAGAAAATTATACACAATTTTATCTCTTTGGAGAAGAATCGTACGCAATTTACTTCTGTGCGAAAACTGTTTTCAATTTATTGCTGTGAACAAAATTTTGAGTAATTTATTTCTTTTTTTATTGATTGCCAAGAGTTATTCTTTATAAACATTTTCGTTAGCTTTATCTATTTATGCTACTTTAAGTCTATTAACGATGACACATAATTTTTTAACGTCGATGAAAATAAAATAAATAAAACAATAAAATAGACAAAAGAATTATGCTGAAAGTTATGTTGCAAATTATGCGCTTGATTGTGCTGAAAAAGGCATAATGACCGAAAGACATGCTGACAAAATGCATAATATTACGTGACCGATTGTGCTAAAAACGTGCTGTGTTGTTACACGATCGATGTGCGCTGAAAAATATAACATTACATTACACAAATCTACATGTATATATGGGGAAAAAACTTTTTCTACACGTTCTGTATTTATATGGGGTTTGTGCGTATGTGCTTACTTATATTAAACTTTTTTTGCCATGTGTCAACTATTTGTTCACTAAACATATTTAAATAACAATGCTATAGAAATTCTTTATCCCATAAAAATTTGTGGTACAATGTTATCACAAGGAGGCTATTGTACAATCGACAATGTATTGTATGATCATTAAAGTTTCAAAAATCTAATCCATAAATTATTTAACAAGTTTACATATCAATCTTTCTAGATTAAAATTTATATATATAGATATATGAAGTAATAGAACTTAACGTTATTGTCGATTTTACGTATTATTTATACACAAATTCTGTCTTGCATTAGAAAATATTCAAAATTTTATAAAGGGTATGTAATAAACATTATTATCATCTTCCTCTTAAAATGTCCATTTCCCCAATCATATTATCAAATTCGTAGTCTTTTAATCAAGTACACTACTGTAATTAAATTTATTAATAAGAAATGTGTCATTACCGACAAATTCTAATTGCAACTTTAAAATAAATTAGTTGATTCCATAGAGGAGAGCCTAAACTACAAGTATATAAAGATTTTTTGCTTGCATACCACATTAGGGAACCAAATGATCTACATGTACATGTATAATAGTTAGGATTTTTTATTGGATAAAATCGAACATATTACGGGGTATAAAGATTGAACTATTTATAGTTTATTTCCTTTAAGTAAACTTTTGGCAGTTTGAGTACTTTTCATTAACAATAATCTTGAGATTTGCGTAAGTGTGCTATCTTTTCATTTGGTGCTTTTTATTTGGATTATTTATATTCTAACATTATGTTGGCATATTTGATAGCTGTATGTTTTTTTAACAAGTTTCTATAGTGATAACAAATAATAATATATACAACGTTTTATTACTTTTAATCTATTTACTCAAAGAAATTAGAAAACTTAGCTACATAACGCTAAATTCATATTATTTATGTATAATTTGCAAATGACAGAATCAAATTTGCTTAATTAAAGCAAGAGTTATGTATTATCGTTATAAGATTAGATGGATTAAATAAATTTCTTCAATAAATCACTTTTCATGTTTAAACTTTATTTACAAAGTCATGTATCAATTACAACATACTTCACATAGAAAAGTTTCAATCCCTAAACAACAAAAAACCAACAACAATTAAAGATTCAACAACAACAGCAAATTCAGAAAACTAACTTCCTTTACTTCAACTTTTTCAACAACAGACTGCCATTCACCAACCTTAATAATCTGCTGTATATATTAAACCAAACGATTCGTATCTTTATATAAATCTTCTAGAGGGTATATGTCTATACAATTTTTGCTTTAGATCCTATTAGATTTTCGTTAAACCGAAGTTTTGACGCAAAATATAGTTTTATGTTTATCGCATAGATAGTCAAAAGTTTTATCGATCTCATTATTAATTTATCATTTCAAACAATGATTGGTTTGAAATATGCGTGAATTTGCAAATAAAAACTTAATTATGTTTTGCGAGTTTTTTATTATAAAGGACCTATTCAACTCTAAATCGTTTAATAAACAAAATGTGGATTCATATCGATGTCGTTTATCCCTTAATTTCTGGAAAAACAGACGACATAACGATAATAAATAAAATACTAATTGAGCCTTATTTAAAATTGATGCTGTAAATAGATCTACACTACCCGGACAAAAGTCTTGCAAAAAATTTTAATTACGCAAAATTACACATAATAATTAAATCTCAAATTTTAATATAACTTTGTTTTGGTTTTGAAAAAACGCATATATAATTTTCGTGTTGTTTGTAAACACACATCAGAATATATAAATAAATCTGCAAGCACTTCTAACCTTTATTGATGTTAAAATGTATCCTTTAACTGAAAGTCAATGTGGTGAAATTATTGGCCTTTACAAAAATAAGCAATCAGTACCAAAAATTAGTAGAATGCTCAAAGTTCATAGAACAACTGTCACTCATACCATTGATAAGTACCTTAACAGAGTTGACCTTGTAACTTGTCCCCAATCTGGCTGTCCAAAATTATGACTAACAGAAGTCAAAAAATTCTAAAGACTATTGTTAAAGATAATAACAAGAAATCAGCTGAAGAAATTAAAAAAATTTTTGTTGAAAAAACTAATAATGAAGTTTCTACAAAAACAATTATGAGAAATTTGCACAAAATGCAAATTTTTTCTCATATATCAGCTTGCAAACCTCTCTTAAATGATCAGCAAAGAGAACAACACCTGGTATGATATACTGAAAGATGAGATTGGACTGTTTAAAAATGGTGATCTGTCATATTGAGTGATGAAAGCAGATTCACAATATTTAAAAATGATGATCCAGGTCATGTTTGAAGAACTCCTGGTACCAGATTTAATATTGAAAATTTGGTCTCCCAACAGTAAAATTTGGAAATGGTGGATTAATGATGTGGGGGTGCTTTTCTGATAAAGGATTGGGGCCATTAGTAAAAGTAGATGGTAAAATGAATAGATTTAACTATATACAAATACTTGAAAAGCATTTATTACCTCTGATAAAGAAAGAATTTAATTGCGAAGGATATTGATTTCAAGATGATAATGCTCTGGTCCATACTGCTAAAGATGTTAAGAAATGGATTTTAATGAACAAAATCAAAGTCTTGCCAGATTGGCCAAGTCAGTCTCCTGACTTGAATCCAATTAAGCATTTATGGTCAGAGCTGGAAAGAAGAATAAGAAGCAAACCACAGGCAATAACAAATATTGCAGAATTAGAGATAGCACTACAAGAAGAATGGGGGTAAGATTTCACAAAGTCAAGTAATGGCTTTGATAGAAAGTATATCACGGAGAATAGAAGCTGTTATTTCAAGCAATGGATGGTCAACAAAATACTAATTTATATATATTTACTTCATTGGTTAAAGTATTATCTGTTAAAATTTGAGATGTAATTATTATGTGTAATTTTGTGTAATTAAAATTTTTTGATGTGCAAGACTTTTGTCCGGGTAGTGTATATATAAATTTGTAATAAAATATTCTCTTCCTAAATATTTGATATTATCTAAGAGAAGCTAATCTTTTAATAATTTATTAAAACTGTGAAACTGTAAATATTAAGGATAAATTAATTGGTCATTAAAACAATTTTTTGAAAATAACAATGTTGATTCGTTTGTCTCTCTCTTTTCCCTGTTGATTGCAAAATCAAATAAGAAAATTCATGAAATAGGATTGGATGATATTTTAAATAAATAGCTTAATCGACTTGTTTTTTAAAAAAATCATCTAATAAGTTTCTTGTTAGGTTAGCTGGAAAGGACAGTATTGAAAGGTAACAATAATTCATTCACAATTATAATTTTGAACAATCAAAAAAAAAATAATTAGGGTAAGTTATTGTATAAATCAAAACTCTATGAATATGAAAGTAGGTTAATGGAAAAGCAAATAATAAAATTTTAATTTTGAGATATTATCTTCTAGGTACATATTTATGATATACTGTAATTAGATGTCTCTTAAGCTGTTTATTTAAAATCCATTTCGACAAAAATTTGCTCTACTATATCTTTAATCTTGAATTTGAAAAAGTGATTAGATGTAATATCCAAAATGAGTGATGGGGAAAATACGCGTATAGTCGAACACTATACATATACATACTATACGCACTGTATGTACATGTACATGTATTATATCGATATGTATAAAAATGGGACTTTCCCGATTTTACTATGTCTGTGTCCATCTCTTAAAAATGACTATGAATTATATAAAAATTTAAAAAATTTTGTGAGTTATGAAATAAAATTTATTTCATAAACAGCAAATTTATTATAGAAGTTTCGCCATCTGCTCTATTGATCTCAAGTTTGGTAAATCTACAAGAATGGCATATACCGATACATGTGGCGTCATTGATCCTTGTATCAATCAGTGCCAATAATAAATCTCGCATTTTAACTAAAGATAAAATTTTATTCTAAACAAAATTCGTTAACCAATAACGCATGAAATCATTTCATATAACTCGTGTTTAATGACCAAATCATATGAAAACAAAAAAATCGGATAATTTAGGAAGATTCTAATAACGATAAATTTATTCTGTACATGTATTTTGTGAATGTCACATTGTTAAAGTATGAATTCAATGTTTCACAACGCATACTAATACATGTACATATTATTTAAATAAAAAGGCGTTCAAAACTCAACTTTGGGTAAAAAAAAAACATAATAAAATGAGAAGTACTATATTCATTGCTCTCACTGTATATATTGGCTCGGTAATTACCAATGAAAAAAACGTCGAACATCAAATACGACTTTAACGCTGATCTGCTTTTCATGTACTAAAACTTTCGTTTTAAATAATCGATGTAGTTAATTTTCAATAAAATAAAAAATTATCAACAATCAAATTATCAACAATCACGGACCTTACCGCATCATGTGATTCCTGTTATTATTGACACAGATGGTGACAACGACGATTTCTTTGCGATTCTTTACGCGCTCAAATCTAAAAATCTTGATGTACGCGGCGTTACTTACCACGGAAATGGATGGTCCCATGCAGGTATGAACTTATTATGTATGCTATGCTGAACTATCCCCATAGCATTCACTTCCCATGTATATTAATGAGATATGATAGCATATTAATAATTGTGAAATAATATTTGTTGATAGCTTCGGTCCAAAACATTGTTGATATCATCGACGATATTTATTCTGGAAAGAACATTCCCGTAATACTTGGCACTGACTATAGCCTCTACGAGTCTGACAGAAACCCCAATACTTTAGGTACCCCAGGCTGTACTTACCAGAAATCGGTGCCGGAAGGTGCAGCAGGCGGAAGACGCGATTCCGATTTGCTATACGGTCTCAATCGAAAACTCAGGTTATCAAAGCGGATATGGTATGACGCTATTAAAGATTTTAATATTACCCAGGACTTTGCTGACCTCATAGACTCTACGATTGAAGCAACCGGCAAGAAACCCACAATAATAGCCATGGGTACAGCTACCAACATCGCTATGCTTTTACGTGCTTTCCCAACGTACAACACAAAAATCGAACGAATTGTTTGGATGGCCGGCGCTTTAGATGTCGCTGGAAATGTGTTTACCGTGCCAAATAATACTCGTGCAGAATATAATGTATATCTTGATTGCGTTGCTGCCCAAGAATTACTTGACTCCGATCTGAAAATCACTTTGATACCCCTTGATTTTACAAATAAAACACCGTTTAATCCTGCTTTCTTTGACAAACTCTCAACGCTCACAAGTTTCTACGGGAAGTTTGCGTATCAACTTTTAAAAATGATTCGCGCGACATGGCTTGGTGGTGAACTTGAATTCTATAATGGTTATTTTCTCTGGGATGCTAAAGCTGTTGGTTTTGTCAAAAATATTGGTGTCGCAAAGGTTGTGTCAAACCGCACATTAGCCATTACCTGTACGGAAGACAAGAATTACAATGGTCAGTTTGTAGCGTCTCAAGTATTGACCAAAGCAGATCTTGAAATTGCCACTGAGCCTATTGTTAGCGACCTTGTCGAAGATTCTCCATTCTTCCAAGATTTCATTGATGTACTCGAATATTAGTATGAAGTACATTTTATATTTATTAGTAGCAAAAAGATCATAGTTCTCTGTTATTTATACTTATAGCATTGAGACCAATTGATCAACACGTGACGTGATGGTTATTTCTTTTATGCATTTTTTTAAATGTCAATAGGTTAGGTAACCCAAAAGTCAAGAATAAGAAAAATCGATTTCATAATATTTACAGATTAAATTCTGCATTTACTTAGTCAAGAAGTTTATTGTATTTATACAATCCAGCTTATTGATGAGTTAGAAGTTATATATTATATAAAAATGATGAAGTTGAAAGAGAAGTCTCATTGAAACGGGTGGTACGAAATCCTACATAACGATAACGATAAGCCCGAATGATCAAAATCCGAATGAACAGCATCCCGAATGATCGAAATCTTGAATCCCGAAATCATGATAATTTTAGTATTTTTTGGATACATGTAATATACTTTCAGGATTTTGATGATTCGGGATGCCGTTCATTATAATCCTAACTATGATAATCTGGCTTGTGTAATATGTTTCAATGCGGTAACGGTCGAAATCCCGAAGAACACAATTCCGAACGTTCGTAGGCCCAAATCATCGGAGTCTTGTGAATCCGGAATTCCTCATGTACAGTAAAAATGAATGTATAAATACTAAAATAGATGGTGTTTCATTAATTAGTTGGATTTTAGACTGATAATGAATTTATGAGCACAATAATTTTTGGTAGACAATACTTTATTATTGTTAATAAATACGTGTATAAAATCCTAAAACAAACATACCCGATACTTAGGCGTACAATAATCATTTTTTTATCATTATGTAAATTCGTGGTCATGTGTGCATGAGTTTATGCATAGAAGTACGACAATGATTACCAAAAGGGAAATACATGTAAATGATCACCCCCATCTAATTCTTAAAACCCCACCCATTCCCCACAACGACACGCATCACATTATAAATCTTAATTAGATAATGTATGTATGGGGGTTTATTATGCAAGGCGGTTTGTGCGTTTCATATACAATGCTTATCTCTTTAATACAATACATCATATGCAACGTATCTAAATGGTTTGGTTTGTTCTTGAAAAAATTTTTTTATTATTATAACTTCGTGCAGTGATAATTCTCTTTAGAAATCAATTTTGCTCTTTATGTTCCTGCCCTATGGATTCCTCATTATCCTATCCATTCGTGTCAAATTATTTTATTTTTTCTAATTTCCTGATTTATTGTAATCGACATATATCAGCTTTGCATGAATGTGATTTACACGCTCATTTTTGTATACTCATTCAATAATTGCTGCAAAAGACTTTCGCTATTGCCTAAAAGTAAATGTTATAGCAAAAATGGACATTTACTTATTTTCCTCCGAAGTTTTGATTGGACAATGAAAAATCAATCATTAATTGGATAAATGAAAATATAAAAAATATAGAAACCTATGCATAAACCTAATTTTGGTATATTAAATAAAAAATGCTCAGAAGAAAATCTTTACATTTTAACCTTGTTCACTGACTCTAACCTTAACCCTAATCCTAACTTTTATAAACAAACTTTAATATTACGTGTTTTGATTTTGTCCAATCAGCGGCAAAATGTTCCATTGTCCAATAAAAACTTCGGGGGAAAATTAAATGTTTTGTTTGCTCAATCTGGGAATAATATTCACATGTCAAGTACATGTAAATGTAATGTGCAGAATATTCAGCCAAGAAAAAAATAGTAATTGGTGCTATTACTTGAGAAATACTAATTGCAAACAGCCTTCAAGTACACATACTACGCTATCCAAGATTCTATAATATGATATTGTATATTTAACATGCTAACTCTTTTTTATTAATTGAAAACATCATTCCTATCGTTATGTTAATTATATAAGGCACACTAACTCTTTACAATTTTTCAAATAAATCTTACGATTATACAATTAATTCGTTTTTTAACAAAAATGAACCAACAAAATCAACAGCCACATTTCAACATGATCAACATGACACAAAACATCATTAATGGAACTACAAATATTTTTAGTGATCAGTCTACTACACCGGATGTCAACTGCAACAATATTTCAAAAGTACTCGTGGATTCCTATAGATAAATAATCCTGAATTAAAACTTCTCTTCATTATTCTATCCATATTTTGCAATAACTACTTGCATCATCGAATCTGTCTGCATGTATTATCAATAATTTCGTTTATTCATTTGAACATTTATTCACGTCACAATAATTTCATTATACATATCTAAACATTTTTGCCACAATAATATTGATCCATTTAAAATCCTAAGCCACATTTACTATTTGAGTTACCATAAAAATAAATCCAAGTCACATGATTTAGACAACGTATGCCTACAATCAGTATATTTTATTTACATTAAAATGCATATATACATCTATCTATATAGTCAAGTTCTCATTTTTGATAATTGAGAGTGGAATTTAAATATCTTTATTTTATTCGGCATTTTTTATTATCGCAAATTTCTTTGTTTACATACAGTAATCATAATCTATAATTTATGTCATATTACAAAATATATGAAGAAATTTTTATATTTACACTATTTAAATAAAAAACATGTAAGCTTTAATAGTAGGTAAATAGAATGTAAGTTAGTATTGTAACTATGGGTTGTGAAACGCCCTTCATCTTATATAACTTAAAATTTTTAATTCACATAGTTGTTAGGATATGGAAACGTAGGTCGTGAAATTTTTGTTATTTTGCATAAAAATAAATCAAATCATCTAGTTTCAATAAAATTTTTTTAAAAATTGGCAAGAAGGAAAGGAATTGTACGTCTAAATTATCAATCGTATAGTTAGGTCTCTTAAGATCTTTATGATAAATATTGTCTTTTTCCGGAGGAATGAAGTCTAATGGTCAAAAATCAGTAAATTCAGTCGGAGAACAAAATGAATCTAGTGATTCGCTTGGTTAATTTTGTTCAAAGTGATTTAAGTTCAGTTCTGGCGTTAATTTAAGATTTTGGGTATTAAATTCAATACCAACAAGGTATCCAGTTGAGTTTCTAACGAAACTGTTGAAATTGAAAATGTCAACTAAATTTTGATGATCTACTTGTGCCCGATCTTTATTATTGTTGTCGCAATTCTCGAGGAAATCTTCCCAAATAAAACACTTGGTTCGTCGTTCTTTTCGTTGTTTGAATTAACTTGAAATTGAAAAGCTGTTCCAATTCTTGAGAAGTTACATAATTTTCATCGAGAATTTGCGACGTAGGAAGAGTCAATAATTAATGACTCTTCATTTGCAGTTAAAGGTATGGTTTGATCTGGTGTAGATTTCTTTCTTGACTTCATTGGATATACACGCCATCTTTTGGATTCGTTTATTTTAGGCACTTTCGGAAACAATGAATCATGATTTTTCTTTGCCAATTTGGCAATCTTTTTGTATTCATCTTTGACAAAAGGTGATTCCTATTCCCAGACTTGCAAAGAATTGAAGAAATCAGCAGCGCTGGGTGTTTGTATCCATTGGCTAAAGCTGACTTTACAAAAGCTCTAAAATAAAGGATGGATATAGCTTTTTGCCGAAAATATTGTCAGCTCTACCCTATGAGAAAAGTCCCCCGGAATTTTATCGAATTGATACTTAATACCCGAAACCATAAGGAATTGTTTCGGAGCCAAGAAGGAATTGATACTGACTGTGATTTTAGACTTTTAGATTTTTTTTAAAAAGAGGGAATTATTACGGAACCGATACCAAATACGGAATTCTTTCGGAATTTAAGACTGACTTTTTACGGAACCAGTAAATTTTCGGAATATGTACCGGAATTTATACTTAATATGAATCAATTCGCAATGCAATACGGAATTTTACGCAATTTCTATAGAATTAAAACCAATACCGAATATAATCACAATGCAGAAGGAGTTTTCACAGAACCTATTACTGGATATATAATTGATTCTGACATTATGAAATAATATACTCGGAATACAAAGATAGAACTTAAATTTGTTCTCAGGACCCATAATAAATGGGGTAAATTATAATTTTTTACAGATTAGCGGCGGAAATTAAGATCGATGGCGGAAAATACTACTTTCGATTATATCATTTTTATCCATAATAAATTTTTCTCAAGTCTGCCAAATAGACAAATTACGTCATTTATGCCTTCTCAACTTTTGCTGAGTTTCACATTGGCGTAAACAATTCAATCAGAATATGATTAGTAACAATTTTTATTGGAATGTAGAATCACGATAAGTACACTGTTATGCTAATCATTTTCTGTGTGAAAAATTATTACGCGTGTCATAAACGCGTTTTTGTATTCCAAAACAATTTGATAAATATATAAATAGAGAAAAACACGATTTTTACTTTTCATTCTTTCAAAATTCTTTCAAATTATCTGTCAAGATTCAAACTATTAGGTTCAACCATGTCTCTTTTTGATATTGAAACAAATGTTAGTTCACCGCAGGCTTCTGCTTCTCAAAACACTTTGATACAAAAACCAAAATAGGACTCTAATGGAAAATGATTGACAAAGGCAATATCGCACAATATACTAATGTTGACCGAAAAATTGTCCTTGCGCTAAAAGTATTTATATTTTAACTATATTTCTTTCATAGGAAAATTCTAATATATATCTTTATTAATAGGATTTTATGAAACCCTTCTAAGATCTAGTGAATATTGATCAAAGGCCAGGGCATCTTTAATTCCTGAGAATATTAAGCAAAGTTGGTATGAAATGGCTGCAAAGTATTTTCTGTATTTTGATCATTGTGCTGGATACTGGCCTTTTGAAGAAGTATTATGCCAGTATATGGGAGACAGAGGTAATTTTAATTTTATATTTTGTTTAAATATTTGCTATTTTCTAAGCTTATTTTTTCAATAGCATATTACAAGAGACATTGTACAGCCCAAGAAGGAAGATTTTGCGTGCTATCAGGAAGAAAAAGCAAAAATGAAAGGCCAAGTATTCGAAAAAAGATATAATATTCCAAAAATCTTCCAAATAAAGTTATTGAAGTGCAACCATTAGCTGAAGACAATACAAAAGACAATGATAATGGTGTTCAGGGTAATTATACTATTTTTATCTATGTAATTAATTTCATTACTGTTAACATGATTTTAGAAATAACTATATTAATAACGATTTTTATCAAGTTGTCACTGATGAAATTGACAAAGAAATAGCTTGTCCGCAAGCTTTAAAAAAGCGCAATACCAAAAATCTTCCCAAAAAACATAATCTGAGTAGGCACATGATGGTATAAATGAATTGACATTATAATTGATCTAATTGTGCATTCTCATTTACTAATAGGAGAATTGAAAAAAGCAAAAAACATTAATGGTAGTAATACTCATCCAAAAGTTAAATATAAAAATTTTCATTATATATCTTTTATAAAAAAAATTTTTATTAATAATAACTTTTTTGCTATATAAAATTTGATAAAATTAATATAAAAATTACATAGTAAATAATTCAATTACTAAACTTTGAATCTTAATATCTTTATAACTATTGATTCAATTTTTATGAAATTTAGAATATATATTTATCAAATATAGGGCAATCTGCATGTGTAGTTTGAAGTTTTAATATTGCAAATTAATAGCAATAATACTTAAATTATCTTTTTTTAAAAAAAATAATTTTATTTTAGTTTTTTTAGTAAAGGAATATTTTATTTATTAAAAAATTAAAGTATAATAGAATAATTAAAATAATATAAAAGTGAATTTAGATCATTTTTTATTAATATAAAAAATTTATAAAGATTAGTTAAAATTTGAATGATTTTTATTAGAAGTAATTATTAATTTTCATATTAGTGTATCAATCTTTTTGCAATGGCCCATACAATATAATATTCCAAATATATAGTAAAAAAATTCCGAATATTAACCCAAGTTATTTCATAAATTGTGAAAAAAAATTCCAAATGTCAACCCGGAACCACTCCATAAATTGTGAAAAAATTCGAATATTAACCCAGAATTACCATAAACCGTGAAAAAATGCCGAATATTGACTCGGAATTATTCCATAAATTGTGAAAAAAATTCCGAATAATAACCCGGAATTATTCATAAATTGTGAAAAAATTCCGAATAATTATGATACGGAATGTGGAAAAAATTCCGTATTTGCTACGGAATTAATTTAGGGCCATTCCGTCACATCAAATTCCGGAAATATTAGTTAAAAATTCCGTAGTTTTTTTTCATAGGGCTAGTACTGATGGGAAAGGAGGTCTAAACATTAGAATGGTATCACTACTGGCAATCTTTGCTTTCGAATCACTTGAATTAATAATTAATGAAGACAATTGGGCGAGTAGAAATGCTAGAGTCATCAATTTTGTTGATTGAACTTTTTGAGATTTTTTACTTGAGTCTATCCGTTACCTGAATTCTTGATGAGGATGAAGATGTAAATTGCCACCACTCGTATTTATGCACATTTCGAGCGTCGATCTTATTTTGATTTCTTAATCGCCTGATTCTGAATAGAATCCTGTTACATGTATGTCGATATAACTCATGTTACACATTGATCGTAAAGCAGAGTAATCTTTTTATATACTATTTGCTATTCTATAGATCTAGACTACAGATCTTATAGAGAAGAATGTACAAATATGGATGAGTTTACAAAAGAGGTATGGCTTCAAGTTAAAATAAGAATTAATTATTACAAAATGTCAATAGTTATAAGTAAGATAGTAATAAAAATAAGAGGAATTTTACATGCAACACTAAATATGGATGTAATAAGAATTTTGTAAGGATTTCTTTGGGTCAAAAGGCAATGCACGATATGTTTGTATGTGATTTGTTGCTACATTCATGTTCTTGGAGATGCCATAAGAAATATTTGAGAGAATTCAGGTGATTAGAGAGGCAACATAAATATTGATTCCACTAGATAGGAATTTTATATGAATTTTCGAAGCAAAGCAATTATTCTAATAATTTCCATATTAAGGGCACAGAGGTTGACATTGGAATCACGAGGTTTTTATAGATCATGGGTTGGTTTCAGAAAATCGTTAATCATGGGAGTTTTATGTTGTAACGGCAACAGTACTTGCATACAGGTACACGGTTTACTCGGTAGATTTCCATTAGAGAGATAACAGCGTTTAAGTCAATTAATATCATATATATTAACATTAATACAAAGTTTCATTTAAATGTAATTTGCACTAGTTGAAACAGAATATTGTTCTAATGATATTTAATAGCCCCTTTTTTTGCTTTATTTTATAATCAATTTGTCGAATTTCTTGCAAGTCCTCATTTTCTTCGATTTTTGGTATTTTGTCCTCATATTGTCGATTTTCTTGCAAGTCTTCATTTCCTTCGATTTTTGATGTTTCATTATCAATTTGTCGTTCTTCTTGCAAGTTTTCATTAAGTTCGATTTCGTGAGATATACATGTACTAATATCGAGATCTGTTTTTTTATCAGCAAAGAAAATAATGATGAAAATAATATCAAAATGTGATTTTACCTTCGTTTGGAACATACAAACTGACATTTGTGGAGCATGTAATTTTGCTTGAGTATAAAAAATAAATGTGGGTACCTCTATCAGTTGGGATTGATATTAATTTTGAAGTAAATATTCGACTGATGTAAATTGCATTTGGGTGGATTTGTTGATTTTTTTATATTTGTAGAAATACATGCTTGCGCTTCCATTTCCGCATCAATTTCATCGAATTTTTGTCTCTCTAGTTTGAGACACTCTTTAATTTCTTCATTTGTTTTAGGATATTCTAAAGAGCTATAGTACTGAAAATGCAAATTATTCAGTTTCCACTTCCGATTGTCAATGAAACCTTTAATAGAGTCGATAGACCAAATAAAGTCTTTAAGTTCCTCAGCAGTTGATCTGTTTTCTGGAAGAGGATCCCAACATTTTTCAATAATAAATTTACAACATCCAGGAATATTATTTGGTATCGTAGGTCGTACCCCTTTATAGATGTCTAACACGAGATGTATATCATGACTTCGTTCACCAAACGGTCGTTCACCAGTTGCAATTTCGTAAGCAACCATTCCAAAGCTATAAACATCAGCCTCATATAGGGAAGTACTCCACAAATTTCTTGCTTAGAATTTTTTGTATTTGTTGAAATTCTAAGTCCAAAATCAGAAATTTGAGGATAGTTATATATTAATATATTTCCAGGATGAAAATCACGATGTACAAACTTTTCTTCGTGAATTGTTGCTAGATTGTTAATAATATCGGATAAATAATCGAATTTTTGATTCCAAGTCAATTTTTCGTAGTTAGTATTAATATATTTACGGAGATCGTCATCTTCTGCATAAATCATCACTATCAAATGTTCATTTGTAACTGGGTTTTAGTTATTCCATAATAATTAATAAGACCACCATATAGCATTTAAGGGCAATTTGAATCTATTTTGAAGAGTTTGATTATATCAGAAAACAAAAAACACACTTTAGAAAATGTTCATTTTTTACCTCGTTTATAAATTCCAGAGTAATTTGGTTTGAATTGTATAATGATTTCAACACAACTTCTCTTTTTCCTCTTCTTTTAAATTTATTTTCTTCGTGATCCCATACTTCAAGGTATTCGGTTAACCAGGTTACTTTATAAATTGACCCAAAACCTCCTTTTTCAAGATATTCAACGTTGGTAAATCTTTCAAAAGGAATCCATTCGAATGTAATTCCATATTTATATCTTTTAATTTTGTTGCATTCTTTTATTAGATTGTTGATATCTTTATCGCCGCTATCGTTATAAATTCTTTTGCGATATTTGAAACAGTCATCGCATCTCTCATTTCCTTGACAACGCCAACATTTGCTACAATCATGAGTATTGTGAACTAAACACTCATTGCAGTATCTATTCTTTTGACATTCAGTACATTCATAACAGTGAACTATATTTGTTTCCATCTTTGAGTTCATTTTATATTTGTGAAGCTCACCATAGAATGCATAAGTCATTACTATCAAGTAATCGTTTGTAACCGAGATTTTAGTCATTCCATAATATGCTATCCTGGTGCCGTAATTATAGCATTCAAGTTCCATTTGAATCTTTTTTTTGAATTTGAATATATTAGAAAATAAAAAGTAACTTTCACTTTAGAAGATGTTCATTTTTTACCTCGTGTATGAACTCTTGAGTGACTTGCTTAGAATTGACTAATGATTTTAACACAATTTTACTTTCGCCTCTTCGTATAAATTTATTTTCTTCATGATCCCATTTAGGTCTACTATAATCATTATCCAATGATCCATCCAACCAGGTTGCTTTATAAATTGACTCAAAACCCCCTTTCGCAAGACATTCAACGTTGGTAAATCTATCAAAAGGAATCCATTCGAATATATTTTTATATTTATAATCAATTTTGTTGCATTCTTTTATTAGATTTCGATATCTTTGTCCCCACTAGTCAATTCATCGTTATAAATTCGTTTGTGATATTTGAAACAGTCATCGCAGCGTTCATTCTTTTGGCAAACAGAGCATTCATTACAATGATGAGTATTTGATTCCATTTTTGAGTTCGGTTTATATTTGTGAAGTTCACCATAGAATGCATAAGTCATTACGATTGAGAATTTGTTTGTAACTGGGTTTTTAGTCATTCCATAATATGCTATCAAGCAACCAAAATTATAGCATTTAAGTCCAGTTTGAACCTATTTTGAAAATTTGATTGTATTAGAAAATAAAAAGCAATTTCACTTTCGAAAATCATTTTTTACCTCATGTATCAAATCTGAAGTAATTTGCTTTGAATTTTTTAATTTTTTCAACACAGCTTTTCTTTTTCCTCTTTTAATGTTAAATCTATTTTCTTCATGATCCCACTTGGGATCGCCATATTTATTATAATCCACTGGTCCGTCCAACCAGGTTGCTTTGTAAATTGACTCAAAACCTCCTTTCGCAAGACATTTAACGTTAGTAAATCTATCAAAAGGAATCCATTCGAATATATTTTTATATTTATAATCAATTTTGTTGCATTCTTTTATTAGATTTCGATATCTTTGTCCCCACTAGTCAATTCATCGTTATAAATTCGTTTGTGATATTTGAAACAGTCATCGCAGCGTTCATTCTTTTGGCAAACAGAGCATTCATTACAATGATGAGTATTTGATTCCATTTTTGAGTTCGGTTTATATTTGTGAAGTTCACCATAGAATGCATAAGTCATTACGATTGAGAATTTGTTTGTAACTGGG